ATCACTCTATCTTTAAGATTAAGCTTATGATGATGATGTACTGGCTGCTTCTTTTTAACCTGTTTTTATTCTGTGTGTTTTCACACTTTGCATCAAATTTTGCATAGACTTTTTGTCCTGTCTCTCTTGGCTGACCTTCCCTGAGCCTAGTTCTGCTGGAGGTTTCTTCCAGTTAATAGGGAGATTTTGCTTTCCACCTCTCACCAAGTGCTTGGTCATAGTGGGTTGTCTGATTGTTTGAGTATTCTCTCTATTTTTGTAGGGGTCTTTACCTTAAAATATAAAGAGCTGTTATGATTTAGTGCTATATAAATGACATTGAAGTAGCTAGTAGTCAGCAGTCATTTTGCCTGTAGTCACTTAAAGTTGTCAAATGGCATTCACTTTTTATGGTCTCTGGTGACCACGTGACTTCCAGTGTGGTTGAAGCTTTTAAAATATGTCATGTTACTTTGCCAGGACAGTGGCTCTTTGTTTCTTCAATTAGACACTCACCAACTTTCTTGGAATGTGTCCTGACTGCAGCACTGCATTTACAAGCATGGCACTGATATTCATCTTGTCATCAAGCACTGAATTTTCTCTGACACTTGCAGTGAAAAAAAATTATCCAGTGGTCTGTTAGAAGTCATACCTTCATGTATAAGCCCATGTCTCAGTATATAAGAATCAAAACTGTTCAGTTTTTTTTATATATTAAAGGGTTAATATTGATTATTAAATTAAATTATGGAGTTTTAAGTTTTTTAAAAACTGTATAATCATAATAAGTTTGAGGGTAATATGCAGGGGGCTAGTTGCCAGATTTCCCTGGTTGTTAAGTTTCATCTCCTCCTGCTCCACAATCCCCTTCAGGCACTCTGATTTGCAGAATGTATGAGCATTCACCCTGTTATCACAGATGCCCACCCAGTACAACACTGCCACATAGTTTATGGTCTAAGCTGATCTGTACTTCTTGACCATCATGCATCGAGCTTAATAAACTTTCATAAAAATATTTAAATTTTTTCTTCATATCCAGAAAGGCTATTGTTGCATCTCTCTGTCACCCAGCTGATCTAAACACACCTCATTCACATCCTACCACAATCAAACCCTGTTACAACATACGGTCTAATTTCAGATATGGCTTTTGTTAGTAATATTGACAAAGATTACATTAACTGCATATTGTTTGTGGATACCTTTTTGTGTGGTCTAAACATATTTGCTGTTCACAGGGGAACCAAAGGCAAGGACATCAGCACTATCAAGTCATTGAGGGTTCTTCGAGTTCTCAGGCCTCTGAAGACCATCAAGCGCCTGCCAAAACTCAAGGTTCTATTCTAGGACTTGTTTAATTCCCTTTGCCTGGCAGGCAGGTCTCCACTTTAGCTCTTATTGCACTATTAAAACTAGTGCACTTATTGCACTATTTTATACTTAGTGGCAGTAATATTTAAATGGCATGAACACCTAAGTTTTATAATGTGATAACTTGAAAACAAGGTAACATAGGCACTTAAAATTGATGCCATGGGTGCATCTAATGAAGATCTCAGACAAGTTTGAAGCTCAGTGACCTCAAGTTCAAAGGTCAAGTTTTCTGAAAACCTTTTCAATGTGATAACACTTGACAATTTTGAAATTGATACCACAGGCGTGTCTATTAGAAGGCCACTAGGTAGCACTGGCGGTCACCAATATTTTTTCTCCTATGTCTTGATTTTTTTTTTGTTTTTTTCAAGGACTGAAGCTGTGGAGGAGCTTAGTGTTTACTTCTTTCATTTGGTCATTTGTAATTACAGCAAGCTGACTTTTGTCCCCTTTCACTTGTCTTACTTTAATTTCCTCTAAGCTCCAGCTTGCTTGTTATGCTGTCTCTTCCTGTATCTTGCAAAGAAATCTGATTCATACATACAGTGCTCAGCAGAAATGAGTACACCCCCTTTAAAAAGTACAAATTTAATCAGTAGCTCAATGAACAAAAAAAAAAACCACTTTCCCAAATTTTCACAAAGCTGAGTTTTAGTGAACACTCCATAACATGAAAATAAGGTTAATAATATAACTTAAATCACAAAATCTTCAGTTTTACTCAAATTGGTTGAAGCAAAAATGAATACACCCTGCAACAAAAACTACTATATCTGGTATTTTGTATTGCAACTGTGATTTTCAAGGACAGCACCAAGTCTTCTAGGCATGGTATGAACAAGTTGTAATATGACATATTGCAACATCTATCTTTTTCCATTCTTCGAGAATAACCTCTTTTAGAGCCTGGATGCTGCATGGAGAGTGATGCTCAACTTGTCGCTTCAGAATACCCTACAGGTGTTCGATTGGGTTCAGATTAGGAGACATACTTGACCAGTCTATCACCTTCACCCTGTTCTTCTTCAGAAATGCAACAGTAGCTTTAGATGTGTGTTTTGGATCATTGTCGTGTTGGAAAAGTGCACAACAACCAAGTGCACGCAGTGATGGCAGCATCTATTCCTTCATTATAAAGCAGTACATTGTTAAGTTCATGATACCATCAATGAAATGCAGCTCCCCAACACCAGCAGCACTCATGCAGCCCCACATAAGGACACTGCCACCTAGTGATGTGTCGGTCGCGAACGAAATGGCTCTTAGAGCC